GGACCAGGAGGAGGTCACGGTTCGATTCCTGGTCAGGGCACAGGCCCAGGTTGCCGGCTCAGTCCCCAGTGCGGAGCGTGCAGGAGGCAGCCGACCAATGACTCTCTCTCATCACTGATGTTTCTATCTCTCTCTCTTCCTTCCTCTCTGAATTCAATAAAAACATGTTAAAAAAACAAACCTCACTGCCCAGCAGCAGCCCCCCTCCTCCAGGAAGCCCTCTGGTGGGACACAGCCTGGCACTGACCCGTTCCTCCTGGCACCCAGCATGGCATGAGGGAGAGGAAGCAGTGCTCTGGGAACATCTATGGGCCTGTCCCCTGGTGCCCAGGAGCTGTGTCCTGCCCTCCATGCCTCTGCCCGTAACCCCCCTACCTCTCGGCTTTGGCAAGAAGGCTGCCCCCCTGGCCCCGCGATGTTCCTCCAGGACCCAGGGCGAGGGACTTCTCCCAAGGTCCTGGGATAACAATCTTCCGTGGAAAATTACAAGGGCAGGTTCTAGGTCCTGCTTGGCCCCTGAAGCTGGGGTGTCTCCGGCTGTTTAACCGCATGTAGGTGCCAAGGGGAAGCGCTGGCGCTCTGCCCCGCCCGCCCTGAGACACTGCTCAGCCCGCCTCGCTCTGGGTGTCGCGTCCGGCCCTCTTGCTGGCCAGCACTCACTCCCTGGCTGTGATCCAGGGCCCGTGGGGCCATATGGCAACTTGGCCATGGATGGACCATCGCAGCCTGTGTGTCAGAGCAACATCCTGAGCTGAGGCCACCGGAGCCTGTGAGGGGTGCGGGCAGGAGCCACCGCTGCCAGGCCGCTGGGGGACCTCAGGGGACCCGCCCTGCCTGGCCTCAGCCTGCACAATCTCCAGTGATCCTCAGGACGCTCTGAGTGTCCCTGTATCGTCCCAGAGGAAAAGCTCAGACCTTCGCCCTGGCTGGTGTGGCTCAGGGGATAGAGCGTCGGCCTGCAGACCGAAGGGTCCTGGGTTCGATTCCGGTCAAGGGCAGGTACCTCGTTGCAGGCTCCTCCCCGGCTCTGGGCCCTGGTCGGGGTGCGTGTAGGAGGCAACCAATCGATGTGTTTCTCTCACGTCGATGTTGCTCTCTGTCTCTCCCTCTCTCTTCCACTCTCTCTAAAAATCAGTGGAAAAATGTCCTCGGGTGAGGGTTAAAGAAAAAAAGAAAAGAAAAGCTCAGACCTCCAGGTGCAGACGCCAGCGCTGGCAGCACCCTGTGCACCAGCGGGGACCCTGCAGCTCCCCCCCCCGCCCAGCAGCCTCCATCCTCATGTCTCACCCTCTGCCTTTCCCGGGCCGCGGGCCAGGCTCCGCCCCGAGGCCGCAGCTCTGAGGTGGCCTCCCTGGTTGTCCTGACCACCCAGCCTGGAAAGGCGCCCCCCACCCCGAGCCCAGTCCCTGTGCGCTTCCCTGGTGCCTCCGTTTTATGTCTTCCACTCCCTGTAAGAACCAGGGCAGGACCCTGTCTCCCTGCTCCGTGGGGTGCTGACGGCTCACCTGGGGCAGGTGCCAGTGGATGAATGAATGAACACGCCCGGGGCCTGCGTTCACAGAGCCTCCGCCCAGACTCCTGTGGCCCCCACCCTCATCGGCCGCCTGGGCTGCTCGCTGCTCACAGAACCTTCCGCCTCCCAACTCTGCCCACCAGGAACCTCCACCCGGAAAACAGCCTCCCCCCTCCTGTGTGGCCTTCGTGGCCCAGCTCAAAGCACCATGCGTTTCTCAGACCTTCTCCGGTCTTCCGCTTGGAGACGGCCTCTCTGGTCCCTGGGCCCCAGTGGACAGGTGCCCGGGGAAGGGGAGGACTGCATGATCGTGAACAGACAACTGTCTTCGATCGGATTCTCTACGATCCGAACCTGGCCCCTCCTCTAACGGAAGGTCACGAGACAGCCCAGCCACCCGGCTCTCACCATGGCCACGGCCAGGCCGATCACCGTGATGATCCCAAAGGACAGGAGCATCGTGCCCACGCCGGCTGCGCCACTGCCCACGCCAGGCACCCTGGTGTCATTAAAGCTGGTGGCTTCTGGGCCGAGGGTGGTGGGCTCGGAGGCGGGCCCGTCCGTGGCGGGCTCCAGGTTAGGCTCAGAGGTGGGCGGGCGGGTGCTGAGCCAGTCTCTGGCCGACAGGAGCCTGGAATTCATGCTGACGCCGAGACTGCCTGTGGCTGCTCCCTTCTGACATGAGGAGTGTCCCAGCCTGTGGCCCGGCTACGCGTGCCTCCCTGGATGCTGGAAAGGAAAGAGGAAAAAACATGAGGCTGAGGGTGGGACTCGGTGGTGAGAGGAAGCCCCCTAGGTTCTGAAGGCACCGGGGAAATGCAGGTTGGAGGACGAGGCCATGTTCAGGGGACATCGGGACACGTGCTTCACATAGCTGCAGCTCCCACGGGGCTTGAGGACCTGGCGACAAAGCCTTGCCCCTCTTTGTGGGGGAGATGGCCACGGGGGAAGGTAGCGGGAGGTTTGAAGAGAAAGTGTCTCCCCTGCATAACACCCCCTCTCCCACTCCCTTCTCTCTCCCGCCCCCTCCCTCCCTCATCCCCTGCTTTAGAAAGAAACACTGCAGTTTTTTTCCTTTTCTGGAGGAAACACTTGCCCAAGGGCCAGACAGGCCTGGCTTTGAACTCCAGCTCAGCCACTTGACCGGAACATCCCAGGCAAGTCACCACCTGTGTCTGTTTCTGAACCTATGATGTGCCTTCTCCTTCCCTTCCCCGTCCCTCCCAGGGTCAGAGGGTCATGGAAATGCCAGAATGAACCAGTCCCTGGAGAGGACGGAGCTCAGCACTCCCCCCCCCGCCCCCCCGCCCCCGCCCCATGGTAAGCACTCAGTCAATGTCAGACCTTCGCCCTCAGGCCAACAGGGAAGTCACAGAAGGCCCCGGACCCTGCTCACGGTGTGGCCCAGGCTGTGTGTGGAGTGAGGGTGGGGACAGGTACAGGGAGACCAGGAGGCAGGAGGGAAAGAAGCTGCAGTCACGCCCTCTGGCAGGCTCCTGGGGTCACTGACCCCCTGTAGGGGAGCTGGTGGCTGCCAGGGACAAGGAGAAAGGCAAGGGAGCACGCCCTCCGAGCACGGATGGAGCTTTCGCTCCGAGGTGCCTTCTCCTCCCCTTCCCTCCTCCCTTGGGACCAGAGGGTGGGCAAGGTGCCAGCCCAGGGTGGGGCTGAGGCCTCCCCTGGCCAGGGGGCCCTGGGTAAGGCAGGGTGGGAAGGGGTCCCAGCCAGGCTGGGGAGAAGAGGGGTGCACAGCACACAGCTGCACACAGACCCCCGTGCTTGCTCCTGGCTCTACTGGGTGCCTCCCCCGGGCAGGCGATGAATGTGTGTGAGGTTTGCACACACCCGTGCTGGTCCCTTAGGAAGGGGCACGGCTGGCAGACGGACGTGGAATGAGAGAGGCTCGCTCCTCTCACGCCCTGCCCTCTCCCTCCATCGAGGCTGGGCAGGTCAGGAGCCCCAGGTCCTTTCCTGGCTCTGCCACTGACCCCAGGAGTGACCTTGGGCCAGACCCTTAACCCTGACTCTGGGGCTCATTTACTCCTGTGTCCAAAGGAGAGAAAAGGCCTTGCTCACCACTGTTGGGGACTAAAGGGCACGAGAAGCCGGGATGAAAGGGGTCGCGACCTCCGAGAACCGCATTCCGCTCTCCACCACGGTCCTCAGTCTTCCCTGACCCAGTGCCCATCCCGCCTCCG